TTTATAATTGAGTCGAGTGTCAAGTGGAGTGTTGATTATGTGCAACATCTCAAGAGTAAACCTTTTTTGATAATTACTTTCTTGAGTTAGAATTTTTATGTCATTAAAATCTGGGGTATGTCCGGTTTTTGTGCAGTGTGCTGCAAGAGCTGTTTTTGCTCTATGGGTTTGTAAAGAGCTTTTTGATCCGATTTATGTGCGGATATTCTTGTCTTTAATTTAGTCTTAGTAGTACCAACATATACCTTTTGGCATACGTTGGACTTGTCTCCCTTACATTTAATGCGGTATACTACGTTGGATTTCTCCTCGTCTTGTATTTTACTTTTTAATTTGCTGAAAAGATTATTCAGCGTGTTTTTAGTTTTAAATGCCAGCTCAAATGTTGTGTTGTCGTAAATGTTAGAATGTTTTAATCTTTCTGAAAACCCACGTGTATATGTCATAGTTTTGTAAATTTTCTCGCTGTTATCGCTTGTTTTCTTTGTCTCTTCTTTTCTTGCTCGTGCCATGAGATTGTCAATGGTTTTGTCCGGAAAATCATTTTTCCTCAGGATATTCTTAATTATATTAATGTTTTTGTTGTGATAGTCTGGGTGGCTTATGTCTAAAACTCTATTTATGAAATTGGATGCAGTGTTGATTATTGTTCTTCTCGGATGTTTAGATGTAAAGTTAATTAGTCGTCCCGACGCTGTAGGTTTCTGGTACCAGTCAAGTTTAAGATGAGGTCCTTTTCGTATCACTAGTGAATCCAGGTATGGCAATTGGTTGTTGTTTTCTAGTTCCATAGTAAATTGTATTTGAGGGTTGAATGAGTTCAAGATGTCCAAATTGTCCTTTATTTCGTCTTTTTTCATGACTGTAAAAATGTCGTCCACATATTTGGTCAAAATCTTTGGTTTTGTGTACATTCGCTGCATTGATGAGTCCAGTAATTTCTCCATGACTATGTCAGCTATGACAGGGGAGGCTGGAGAGCCCATCGGCATACCTTTATTTTGTTTATATATTTTGTCGTCATATATGAAATATCTTGTGTCCTTTATACATAGCGTTAGAATTTCCATGAACAATTCTTTTGTCATAGATGTATATGTTTTAATTGTATCCCACTTATCTTCTATGGTGTTGAGAGCAAAATTTACTGGTATGCTAGGGAAAAGTGATACAACGTCAAATGAAATTAAGGTTTCGTCGGGGTTGATCTGTATGTGCTCAATTCTTGTTTTAAAATCTTTTGCGTCTTTTACGCATTAAATGTAAGGGAGACAAGTCCAACGTATGCCAAAAGGTATATGTTGGCACTGCTAAGACTAAATTAAAGACAAGAATATCCGCACATAAATCGGATCAAAAAGCTCTTTACAAACCCATAGAGCAAAAAACAGCTCTTGCAGCACACTGCACAAAAACCGGACATACCCCAGATTTTAATGACATAAAAATTCTAACTCAAGAAAGTAATTATCAAAAAAGGTTTACTCTTGAGACACTCGACTCAATTATAAAACCGACACAGACAATTGCGCTCAAATCTATAGACACACAGTAAACAAATACAAATCTGTTAGACTTTAGTTGAAGCAAGAACGTTGACTTAAAGACATCATAACTTTCTTCAGTAAGTTTATTTACATATTGTCATTGTTTTTTCAATCTGTTAAAATATATGTAATTGTAGTTCCCTGAGGATGATTGGAGAATCCAATCGAAATATTGGAAACAATAAATATTAAAAATCAAAATTAAAAACGATTTTTACTTTAAAAAGCCTACAGCCAAACTAATACAACAAAGATAAACAAAACTAGGCAAACGATACCAATTCAAACACCATACACGGAAGGCACACCGAAAAGATGACTATCTACAGAAAAATCAAAGAAAACTACAACGAACATTTACTGCAGATTACAAAACAATACTCCAAAGGCAATAAAGCGACGGCCACTTTATTGACTTCCACGACTTTTCTTATGAAATGCAAACAAGTTGGCATAATCCCTAACTTCATAAACTACAGCACAAAACACATATACAACATTTTCAAAACAAACAATGATATCCCGCCAAACATTAAAAGAGTTCTTGATAATCACGTCTACCATTTTCACAACAAAATTCTAAACCTATTAATACAACAAAAACATAAACTGTCTCACAAAAACAAAGTAAGACAAAAGAAATTGCAACAACAAATGACCAAACTTCTACATGAAGAAGACCTGCAACTTTTTATGGAGAGTGAAGCAAAACTCTTGGAGAGTTACACTAACACATGCAAGACAACACAAATCAAAAAGCTCAAATCATTACAACAACAAAACGAACAAGTAAACATGGACAACGAAAACGGATGGTTTGTAAACAAAACAGAGAAAGAGATCCCAAAAGAAGTTGAGTGGTTGCTCTCGCTGGGACCTAAATATGCATTACCCATAACAACAAAAACATTCCCGTTATTTGACGTCATAGCAGAGGGAGAAAATTGCATACAAACAATCAATGACAAGGAGAAACAAGACATAGCGAGAACAAAGATGGTATCTCTAATAGACGAACATATGAAAAAGAAAGGAACATTAAACACAAGAGACAAACAAATATTAAGTGGGTCGGTGCAAAACTTTTTTAAAACAAAATAATGACTTGATCATAACCAGTGCGGACAAAGGTGGGAAAACAGTAGCCATTTACAAAGATGAATACCAAACGAAAATGGCAGCAATTTTGGGAGATTTATGCACATATCGACGCTTAAAAAGAGATCCGACAAATATATTACAAAACAAAAACAATTCTCTGGTGGAAAAATTATTTAAATTAAAGATAATTAATGAAACTGAGAAATACAAAATGACGAATAAGACATCAACTGCGCCAAGATTTTATGGGTTACCCAAAATTCACAAGGATGGTACCCCTTTGAGACCCATATGCTCCACAATCAACTCCCCAGCTATCGGACTTTGTAAATATATGGTCAACATATTGAAGAACCTGACTAAGAATTCACAATATAACGTAAAAGACGCAAAAGATTTTAAAACAAGAATTGAGCACATACAGATCAACCCCGACGAAACCTTAATTTCATTTGACGTTGTATCACTTTTCCCTAGCATACCAGTAAATTTTGCTCTCAACACCATAGAAGATAAGTGGGATACAATTAAAACATATACATCTATGACAAAAGAATTGTTTATGGAAATTCTAACGCTATGTATAAAGGACACAAGATATTTCATATATGACGACAAAATATATAAACAAAATAAAGGTATGCCGATGGGCTCTCCAGCCTCCCCTGTCATAGCTGACATAGTCATGGAGAAATTACTGGACTCATCAATGCAGCGAATGTACACAAAACCAAAGATTTTGACCAAATATGTGGACGACATTTTTACAGTCATGAAAAAAGACGAAATAAAGGACAATTTGGACATCTTGAACTCATTCAACCCTCAAATACAATTTACTATGGAACTAGAAAACAACAACCAATTGCCATACCTGGATTCACTAGTGATACGAAAAGGACCTCATCTTAAACTTGACTGGTACCAGAAACCTACAGCGTCGGGACGACTAATTAACTTTACATCTAAACATCCGAGAAGAACAATAATCAACACTGCATCCAATTTCATAAATAGAGTTTTAGACATAAGCCACCCAGACTATCACAACAAAAACATTAATATAATTAAGAATATCCTGAGGAAAAATGATTTTCCGGACAAAACCATTGACAATCTCATGGCACGAGCAAGAAAAGAAGAGACAAAGAAAACAAGCGATAACAGCGAGAAAATTTACAAAACTATGACATATACACGTGGGTTTTCAGAAAGATTAAAACATTCTAACATTTACGACAACACAACATTTGAGCTGGCATTTAAAACTAAAAACACGCTGAATAATCTTTTCAGCAAATTAAAAAGTAAAATACAAGACGAGGAGAAATCCAACGTAGTATACCGCATTAAATGTAAGGGAGACAAGTCCAACGTATGCCAAAAGGTATATGTTGGCACTACTAAGACTAAATTAAAGACAAGAATATCCGCACATAAATCGGATCAAAAAGCTCTTTACAAACCCGTAGAGCAAAAAACAGCTCTTGCAGCACACTGCACAAAAACCGGACATACCCCAGATTTTAATGACATAAAAATTCTAACTCAAGAAAGTAATTATCAAAAAAGGTTTACTCTTGAGATGTTGCACATAATCAACACTCCACTTGACACTCGACTCAATTATAAAACCGACACAGACAATTGCGCTCAAATCTATAGACACACAGTAAACAAATACAAATCTGTTAGACTTTAGTTGAAGCAAGAACGTTGACTTAAAGACAACATAACTTTCTTCAAGTAAGTTTATTTACATATTGTCATTGTTTTTTCAATCTGTTAAAATATATGTAATTGTAGTTCCCTGAGGATGATTGGAGAATCCAATCGAAATATTGGAAACAATAAATATTAAAAATCAAAATTAAAAACGATTTTTACTTTAAAAAGCCTACAGCCAAACTAATACAACAAAGATTTTTAAAATTTTCAATAATACAAATGTAATCTTGATTTTTGTGAAATGTTCGCGGATTATCACGATTTTTTTAGATATTGACCTACCCTGAACATATATTTGCAAATTATACAGATATATAAAAAAATGCAGCATTCAGTGTACTGTGTAACTTGTTTATTTTAGTCTCGCACCTAGTTCAATGGATATGCGTACGAAAATTCATATCTATTCACCACCATTATTGTTTATCTTAGGGTATTGAAAAATGTTATTGATTGATATTCTATTTTAAATTAACAAAAAAAAAAACCAAATACGTTCTGCCAATGCCACGCTTTTTGGGTAACAATCATTGAAATACATTTATTTATATTTTGAGATTAAATTAGCCCTTAAACCTACAAATATAATAAAAAAAATTATGTATATTTTATGTTTAATTTTAGCACGGTATTCTTAGAAAAATCAACCAAATTATTGATGTCGTCAATACAGCGCACGATACTGGCACAAGTTGGTTAGAAGGTTTATTAAATAGTGTATGTATTACTTCAGTTATATTTTGTCGTTATAGAATAGACTTACATGTAATCATTTTTCTATCCAGATATTCGAACCCAAAGAAAATATGTTGAAGTTGGATGGCAGTTCTCAAGATGTAATAAAAAAAAATACAGAACCTCCTCCAGAAATTATATTGGCGTGTCAACAATTAGCGGATGGTCTTGTGGATAGACTAATTGAACTTGAAGATACAGATAATGAACGAATGCTAGGTTGCATAACAACGTTACATTTGCTAGCTAAAGTCCGTCCACAGTTATTAGTGAGACATGCTATGACAATAGAACCTTATTTAAATATCAAATGTCATCCATCTACGGCTCCTAAATTTATATGTGCTGTTGCTGATATACTGGAAAAAGTAAGTTAAATTCACAGTATTGGTAAATTTAAATTTCAAAATAAATAAAAAAATTCCAGGTTGTTCCTTTGGTTAACAACGCTAGCGAATCTTTTTTGGCATCATTGGAGGAACATTTAATGTTGCTAGTTGTTTCTTTAAATCAAGCTGTTGTCTCGAGCTGTGTATCCTGTCTGGGAGCTGTTGTAAATAAAATAACAAAAAATTTTAAGCTTATCCGCGACTGCTTTCAAAAGTAAGTATTATAATAAAATTGGAACGAACTTATAATCTTCGGACGTATGTTGTCGTGATTACAGTGGATGTTTGTACATTAAGGGGACCCCCCCCCCCCATTCTCGGGGTCAAAAATGTTGTTGATATTATTCGAATCTGCACTAATTAAAGCATGTCCCTACAAAATTTCAAATGAAAATCTCAAGAACTCTTGAAGATATAGCCGATTTATTGTGTCAGCATCAAGTGACGGGCTTTTCAAACTTTGAACGCGTTTTTCTCTAAACATTTTTTGGCGAATGGCGGGCACGATAACTCAAAAACTAATAACCCAATCGATTTCAAATTTTTGCACGTTTCTCTGTGAGTGTATAGCTATCGTATGATAAAACCAATCGGTGAAGATCTTCCTTATTTTTTAACTTGAGTTTTGGTAAAAAATCGGCGATGTTTCAAAAATATTTTTTCAAAGGTCCACCATTTTGTTAATTTTAGAGCGAAGTCAATAATCCTAGTTCATACGAGAGCCAGACATGTACTATTTCTAACACCGTTGGAATTTTCGAATTCCGATGTTCCAGTGAGGAGTTATCATGCCCGCCATCAAAAATAAGGACTTTTCTTTAATTGCAAAAAACTACAACAAAACAATAACAAAAATTTTTTGTAAATTATTTTTCTTCTATTTTAAATCTTCAATTATATATGTGCAAAGTTACAAACCATAACAAGCATTGGTATTGATTTACAAGCCCATTGAAAATCTTGAAAAATTAAAATCGGGATTGGGGGTGGGGTCCCTTAAGAAATTTTTACGTCATAAAAGTAATATAAAAAAAGAAAATTCAAAAATTATTGTTGTCATTTATTAAGTATCTAGTACTTAATAAATTTTGCAAACGATTTAACAAAAAAAATCAATGAACACCAAAAAGATCCCGAATTCACGGAAATAACTCGTATGCACTCTCTTTTGCCCGTTTGCATTTTATAGACAATTTGAAGAAAAAATGGAAAAGTGCGCGTTTTCTAAATCTTTATTGGTTTTTTACTTCTTTCTTAAGAAAGCATAAAATTTATGTTATTTAAATCTCGTTTATTAAAAACATTTTCGTAAGTTTTGAACGAAAATAAAAAATACACACAACAATAATAAATTACAAGTAATTCTTTAAAATCCGCCGAAGTTGTCATCCGGATCATGAGTGAAATATCCTTTGCCGTTGTTCCCAAATATCAATTTAGAGGTCGTAAAATGCTTATAATTAATGTGGACCCACTTTTAATGATATGGGAAATGTTGATAAGTTTAGTCGGTGTACGGCGTGGAGAGCCCTTCTTCCCGACATTGGTTATAGCAGCAGTAAAAAATACAAGAACCTCTATTATCGAAAAAACTGCTAAATCAGAGCAAACATTTTTCAACGATCCCCAGTCTACTAGAAACGTGTGATAACGTCAGACGAATCAAAATTCAACCGTTTTCAATTTGACGGTAAACTGTATTGCTGATGATGACTAGACCTCTGATTTTTGCATATTTTTTATGCTTTATCCGATTGGACTCAAATTTTGTATTTAGGCGTTTCATGCTCCATTTGATCGATATTTGGAGTCGTGTTATTCAATTCAATTCTTTTATTCATCCAAAGTTAACATGTTTACAAAATTATATGTACTTAAAAGTCTAGAGTATGGGATTTATCTATAGATATTACAGCATATAATTACATTACATCACAATTTGTATCCTTTTAGTATTTTTAATAATTCTTGGCTAAAGGGAAATGGGAAAACCCTTATTATTATCTTATTTTAATAGGTCAAACATTATTAGAAACCAATATTGTCTATTGGAGAACTATTTGTAAAATAGCATCACCACAGACGAAAGATTTCTGTTTGATATATTTTAGATTTATATATATTTACTGTTATATACTAAGTTATATCTATGCATTCTCTTATTATGGGATAATTCGAGATTGAGGAATTTGTAAAAAAATTTTCGTTCTGTCTTCTTATGAATTCTTGAAATGTTTCATATCCAGTCTCAGCGTGTAATGTATGTGTACGATAACGCCATGGCTTGTTATAAATCATTTTTAAGCATTTATTTTGTATAATTTGAAGTTTCGTTAAATGACATTTAGCTGAAGTATACCATACTTGAGATGCGTATGCCATAATTGGACGTATAACAGATTTGTATAATAAGTTCTTGTTTTTAATGTCTAAATACGAACGATGATTTAAGAGGGGCCAGAGTGATTTAATCGCTGACATTGCTTTTAAACGCACAGAATCAATGTGTTTCTGAAATTTTAATTTTTTATCTAGGACAACACCAAGATATTTTATATGATCTAATACCTGAATAGTTTCATGACCAAAGGATAAAGGACGGCGAGGGAATCTTTTTGGTGAGTTGTTGAATGGAAAGATTGCAGCTTGTGTTTTGCCGTGGTTAATTTTTATTTTCCATTTAGAAAAGTATTTATTACAAGTGTCCAAACTGCTTTCCATTTTCTTTAGTAAGGCACTAGTGAGTTTACTTGATGTTATCAATGCAGTATCATCTGCGTAATATGCAACATTTATTGAACGAGGCACCTTTAAGTCTGATGTGTAAATTATGTAAAGTAAAGGGGAAAGAATAGATCCCTGCGGTAGACCGGATGGGATGTTTTTTGCGGAGGAGGAAACCTGGTTCACGGCAACTTTAAAAGTTCTATTGCACAAAAAATCATCTATAATTTTACATAAATATTTAGGAAATTTCATCTTGTGAAGTTTGTATATTAAACCGGTATGCCATATAGTATCGAACGCTTTTTCGATGTCTAATAGGATAATCCCTGTTGATCGCTTACTACGCCGATTTCTTAGGATTTTATTTTTAATTCTAGAAATTTGGTGTATTGTACTATGACCTTCTTTAAAGCCAAACTGTTCCTTTGCTATGACGTCGTTTAAATCAGCGAATTCTTTTAATCGGGAATGAATAAGTTTCTCATAGATTTTTCCAAGATTACTTAAGAGACTAATAGGTCTATAACTTCCTTAAAACGTTCTGGGAAATAATTATGTCGTAGGCAAGAGTTAAAAATCAATATAAGTTTTTTAATTGCATTGACAGGAAGGTTTTTAATTAAAATATTTGACACTTTATCAAATCCAGGTGATTTTGCTACTCTAAGTTTCGCTATTATTGAATTTATTTCATTGAATGTAATAAAGTGTATATTTTCAGTACTAGATGGGTTCGATTTTAGTTTGGTTACCGCTCTGTTTATTTTCTGCTCAGAGGGACGAATATAATCTATTGTAAGTACATGAGAACTAAAAAAAGTTTCTGCAAGAATTTCCGCTTTTTCATCGTCAGATAATAACTTTCTATTTTCTACTTCTAGTGTGGGAATATTATTGGAGCCCTTTCGTCTTAAGTTTCTGCTAAGCTTCCAAAACTGTTTGTCTCCTGGTTTCATTTTAGAAAGGAAATTTGACCATTTCATATTTCTTTCCTGGTTTATCCTCTCATTAATCTTCTTACTTAGAAATTGGCAACATTGCTTGTAAAACATTTCCTCGTTTGTATTCCTTGCTCTTTGCTGTTTTCTTCTAAATCTTTTTCTGTCACTTATGTATTTTGTGATATCTCTGGGAAAGTCGTGTCGAAAATTTTGAGTACTTGGATACGTTGCACTACTACTGGCAGATATAATAGTGTTGATAAAGGATTTTAATCCTGTGTCAATATCGGACTTGGAGCTTGGATTGGGAATATTATTAAGACTGTCGTTAACTTTGCGTTTGTATAATCCCCAATTACAGTGTTTTGAATTAAATGTGTGTGTACTAACTTTTTGAATTGATTGACATGCAATTGAACATACTATAGGTCTGTGGTCTGAAGGAAAGTTGTAACCTAATGTTTCAACTTCTATTTCTAGATTAGTATTGCTGAGAACTATGTCAACGATTGATGGATTCCTGCCCATTTGATGCGGGTAAAGGGTTGGACTAGGACTGTATATCACGAAATTTCGTTGCATGTACAAATTATTTAAGGAAATGCCTGCAGAATTATTTGAAGAACATTTCCATGATATATGTTTTGCATTTAAATCACCTATGATTATATAGTCGCTGTTGTCAGATGTTAGTTGTATCATATCACTAACAAAATGAGCAGTAAATCTGGGAGAATAAGCAGATGTAATTCTTAGGTTTCGATTATTAACATTTATTACTACAGACACGTTCTCTATAAATTTAGTTGTTATTATAGGGAGTTGTCTGTGTTGTACGGTGCGATGTATCAAAAGAGCAACACCGGCCCCTCTTGAAGTCGTTCGATCATTACGATATATATAGTAATTTTTAAGATATGTCTTATGACTATGGTTTAAAAAAGTTTCATTTAATGAAGCTATATGAGCTTCTTGATTTTCTAACAAATTTTCAAACTGTTTTAAAAGACTATGGTTTGTTATTCCATTGGAATTCAAATGAATTATTTTAAGATCTCTTAAATTATTTAAATTCATAAGCATATTTGACAAGAGACATAATAACAAACATTTGCTGTGATTTTGTTGTACATTTGCTCAATTCATCAAGAGCATTAGTAAATATATTGAATAACTCATCTATATTAAACAGAGTGTTGTTGTTATTGTAGTTTTTTAGCATATCAGCATAGGTGAGAGTATTATTATTGTTGGTACCGTTGATTGGGTTGGCGGTGCTAACCTAAGGTATGTCTCTTGAGTGGTGTGTTTGTTGGATGCCACGTGTGTAATTTGAGGAGTTTCTCACTGTATTCACTGATGAATGATTTACGACATTTCTCTTATTATTTCTGCTTGTTGCTCTTAGTCTGATCTCCAGATATTGTGCACGCATTGGACAACTGATGTCATTAGCGGAGTGATCATGTCGTTCTCTGCCGGATTTCTTGCAGTTGAAGCAAGAGAAGACTGCTGGTTTTTTGTCGTTCGCATTGAATGGACACTT